GAACATGAACGAAAATGAATAAAAGAATAGAAATAGCAACAAGGATAGGAATAGTAATAAGAAAAACTGCGAAAACATGAATGAAAATAGAAATATAATAACAGAACAAGAATGCGAATAATACCAACTCACTTGATAGAAAGATAGCCACAACTTTTGCTTTGACAGGATTTAAAGTTCCTATATTTGCTATTGAAAAGGAGTCAACCAATTGTTTTGACTGTTTAAATGAAGGCAAATCGAGTGTTTTTCCAGCAATTTGTCTTGACGCAGCCGATACTGAAAAAGGATGCTTTTAAGGCATCAATAATAAGTCTTTATAAACAAAGTCTTTTATTATCATCATTATGAAATACTATTTCGTTTTATTGAGTCCATATACAGCTTATTGTAAAACGTAGTCAGGTTCCAAAGGGCAACATCTAAGCTACGACCGAAATGGTGCATGGGAAATTTTATGAGTATAGAGTCTTTCAGAGTCCAAATAACGTCTGTACCTGAATAAAATGACCTTCTCTACGGCTGATGGTATAACATAACACGTTTAGGGAAATATGATCAGAATTTCTGAGTATCCAAGATCCCTTACGGTCTTAGCGTTGATAGCATCACCCTTTTTCGCGACAATGTTTATTTAATTAGGTGTATAAGGCACAATTGGTAGCTAAAGTGTTCTGGGATACCCTCTACGTGCCAAGGAAGACAGTTAAGTGCTCATAAAAAGCCAATCCAATCAGGAAAGAAACCTGAATCGCATGAAAATCAATTAAGTGTGTGTTTATATACCAGGAACTAAGAAGGCAGTTAAGTGCTATAGTGCTAAGAAAAACTCCATTTCATAGCAAAAAAAACCTATGTAAGTTTTTTCATGTATATTTTTTTATTGAGGAGCAGACTATAGGAGGGATCGCGAAGATCTCTTTTACACCATGCACTTAGTCTATATGTAGGTTACTTTAAGTAGTTAAGTGCATGGTCTTAAATCCCATCCTGTTCTTTGATAAACTGCGCACAGTTTTTTTCCATACATTGCACTAAAAGGTCAAACTATCTCCGAAGCAAAGGGCAATGTTCAATGCGTTTTAAACCCCGTTAAAATAAAGCATTTTGCATTTTATTAGAATTGAAATCAGCATTTAACCTGAAAGCTTGACACAATGTTGGAAAATGAAATGATATGGAGCGAAAAAACGTCATTATGTAGTGTTTATTAATATTTAATTTATTCTGGCTGAGTTCTCAGACAAATATCAGAAAATACGCCGAATATCACGGAGCAATTACAACAAGAAAGATCTGCTGTGTGTGGAAAAATTCGTGAAACTACTTTTTATTTACAATTTGAGCGAGACGGCAGGGAGATTTGCATCCCATGATACATTGTAAACCGATTCAAAATGGCGGCATTGTGATATGAACTATGATAGCGATGTTAACGATGATAATTTTAAATTACAGGTAACGTGACTGTCTCAAGCTGCACCAAGCCGATCGATACAACAGTCCAAGTGGTTCTTACCATAGGATATGCTATCATTTTCCCTGTAGCTTTGCTAGGTAACTCACTAGTCTTATATGTGGTCTACAGACATCAGAGTCTCCGCAACGCCCTTAACTACTTGATCGTAAACATGGCCATTGCAGATCTGCTAGTGACCATCTTAATCATGCCCTATTCTACCGCATACTTATTTATACAAAATCTTTGGTTCAGTGGTGTATTTGGGGACATTTTGTGCAGATTGGTGCACTTTTCACTGACAGCTTCCATAGGCGCGTCTATTTTCACTCTAGTTACAATGACTGTTGATCGATTTGTATCGATCGTGTTCGTCTGGAGAAAATCGCTAACTCTTGGATCATCCAAACTCGTGTTGGTATTGATATGGGTTCTTTCGTTCGTCATGTTCGGGTTTAATTTGCGWGTCTACCGAGTCGACTTCATCTTCGGAGCTTTCCGATGTTATCCRAGTTTCATCGGCTTCCCGCCGGARTTCCCGAAGATTTCCGCTATTTGTTTCTTTGTGTTCCTGTATGCTATTCCACTACTGTTGATGGCAGTTCTTTACTCTATTATATGTTACAAGCTATTTAAGCAGAAAATGGCGGGAGGAGACCGTGAGATTGACAAGAAGAAGAAACGTGTGATCAATATGCTTATCACTTGTACAGTATTCTTTGCACTTTGTTGGCTTCCATTACATATCTTGCATTATTACATATACTTCAATATGAAGACATATAAATGTTTTCCACCCTTGTTTATCCTGGGGGGTTTCTGGCTGGGACATGCCAACAGTGCCGTGAACCCGTGCTTATACGTTATTTTTAAYAAAACATTTCGGATGGCGTTCCTCAAGGCACTACACTTGACCAGCTTTGACAGCAACAATTGGCATCCAGGAACAACGAACGTTACGCGCGTACAACGCACRGGAATGCAGAGTTTATATGTGGAAGATGAAGAAGAGAATAAGTTAAATCTGGCACAACGTTTTTCAAAGCGATTCCGCGCTTCCTTTGCTAAAGCCTACGCGAAAATCAGGAGTGCAAGCGACGAGGATTCAAATGAGCTGGTCGACAAAAGAAAGTCAGTCGTTGTAGTGTCTGAGCGGATGACGAGCTTGTGAAAACGTTAAAAGTACGTGAGCATGAAATAAAAGTTCAACGGGTAAACGCATCATCATGACACCTACACTGTGAACATGATACCAACGAAAGCGTATGAATATACGTATACATATTGCACCGTGAAGCGTAAACGTGACAGTAACCTAACGTGCAATCGTAATGGGGATAACAGCATAACGTAAACGTTGTGATAACGATGGCGTAAGGCGTAAACGTTAACGATAGCGTGGCGTAATGGCGTTCATGCCTACAACAGACCTACAATATATAACGCTTACACGAGATAAAAATGTTAGTTCAAAGAATAAACGTAACGATATTCCGTAAACGAAGGGCGGAGGCATAGCGTACGTACCCATCGAGCTGATATAAACAACGGGTCTTTCAAGCTACACTAAATAGAGAAGGTACGCCTAAATCAAGAAGTGTTTATCRTAAGATCTGCTAACGAAAATCGTCCAGCTAAGCGTAAATATCGCGAACGGAAACGTTAAAAMTACAAGTGGATGATACTAGAGCATTCGATAAAGCACTTAAAAACGACACAAAAGTATAAAATATGATACTATACAACTTATTAATTATTGATCATGAATATCTCGTATATACTGTTCTATGAAGCTAAATATCGCTATAGAAAAATTATATATGTATGTATTTAAGGCAACACTTAGAGTACGTTGCCTGAGGTCAGTTGTTTCGCGTGTTAAGATTAAGCGAAATCGTAGACAACAACTTAGACACTTCGACGCTAAGATGGAGAATATAAAATGATGCGAAAGCAGGAACGAATGACGTCATATTCTACGTCATTAGACGTAATATTGACACGACGTCAATAAATGTTATAGATACTAGCTCCATACACTAGAGAACTATGGGCCGGTCATTATTAGACGTAGCTAGCGTTGCATACGGAAATAATTCTCCATGGGATCGATTTACGAAGGGAATTCCGTAAGCAACGTAAGCTTTATATAAGTAACTGTAAATTAAAATGCTGCGTATAGAACCAAGTCACATTAGAGGAATTCTAGAAATAATAAAATGTACAAAAATGAAGATATTAATTGCATTTTATACATATAGACAGTCTCTTAAATGCAAATATCAGGTTTTCGAAAGCCGCCATTGTTGAATGCATGGACAATGAAATTGAGAATTCGAGAAAAATCCCTACAAATCGAAAATTACCGCAAAATACGAAAGATGTAAGTTTTGTACTCGTTATTCGATAAGGACGCAACCTATCTCAAGCTAAATTACAACCATGTATATGCTTAATTTTTAGTTAGGAATTCCGTAAAAAACGTTAGTAGAAAACCTTAATGTTGCTGTGAACGATACCCAGAGTTTTACGCGCGTAAATTGTGAGATTCGTCGTAAAGAACAAGCTTTACTCAGGTCGAACGTAGTGAATCTCATACATATATATATACTTCCTTACGTTTTACCTAGCGTTTTACGCGCGTAAATTGTGAAATTCTTCGTATAATACAGAACAAGCCTTACTCAGATCAAACACAACATAATAATGAATCTCATACTACCTTACGTTTTACTTAGCGTTTCAAGCGCGCAAATTGTGAGATTCGTCGCACAGAACACCCTTACTCAACAGCAACTTTTCATAAGGAAGTAAATGACATATTATTAATGACTTACCGAGATCTGAGCAAGCCGAGCCACAGCCGATCCTTTCCAGCAATCTATGCAAAAACAGAAATTCCAGCTTTATGACTTTTACATAATTTCATATCTTTACTGAGCCCACGCAAGATTGCATAACTGCGGCCGTTGCGAAGGTCAAGTTGTGATTTTGGGGTTTGTTGTGACTACGCGGAAGACGTCTTAATGACTACATCCGATTGAAAACATTGTATGATTGCATGTTGACAACAAACATTATGGTCAACATAGAGGTTCTTCAAAACTATCTACCGACGATTTACATGTAGCTAAGAACAGTTTGTTTRCTTAATCAAACTTAAAATAGTCGGTGAACTGAAAAAATGTTTATATGACAGGCTATCAAAGAGTCTTGACAAGGAGGGTATCGGGTATATCTTTGACTTTGCACAAAACCGCTGATTCCTCCCGCCTTTTTCCATACACATCCTGATAAAAAATCGATTGGCTATTACATTACGAGCCGGAGATGGCTTTTTTTTGTACGCACAGCTGGAATCAACCGGCTCTGAGAGCCGGTTGATTCCAGCTGTGCGTACTAAAAACGTCAGTTCATTGGACAGAGAGTATAGCAGAGGTGTTGCGAGGATAAGAGGATTAAATTAACCTACTTCGTAAAGGTCATCGT